TTTAATGAAGTTGTAAGCTTTGTTACATAAAGTTGTAACTTCATTGTAAATTAGAAACCCTTCAACTGGCAGTATTCTGCAATGAATTAAAAAACTTTGTATCTCAAAATATTTAGAGTCTCATTAATTACTAACAAGAGCACTGGTTACTATGAAGGAGTAACTGGTATACAAAAAGGACCAAGGATACTTATGTCAAGTTAAATAGTGTATTAGGCACCTGGAGGGCAATGGAGTGGGCCTTACTCCTGCTTCAGTAAGGGTGTACAATCTGTTGTTTGATTCAAGATTTCAAAGTAGGTATTCTTCTAATGTGACAGTGAAAACTGCCCATCATTTGCCTATTTCTCTTTAGTGTTCCTCCATTCCTTCTTTCTGCATTAACTACAAGTCCCAAACTAAGAAAAATTATAATCTGATTTTGAGTTCTTAAGGGGTTTCTACCATATTCATATCTGACTTCCCATAAACACTAAGTCTAATCAATAAAATGTATTTCAAACTAGTGCAGAATTCTGAAGAATAAAGGCAACTTTTATATAACACATTTCACCAATAGAGGGCAGACCCTGAATGCCCAGAAAAGTTATGTATCCTTAAATGCCACTGGGCCCAGTTTACAAACTCTGACACAATAAAGAATTATAGCTGCAAGTCCTCTGATTATATTAGTGACCCTAAATCTAATTCACTGATTTGAAACATATTTCCTTTATACACACATCTTATCTCTTAAATAATTTCCTCTTGTTTTTAAGAAAATGGTATTAAAAAGCAAAGGTATAAGCATGTAAATGTTTCTACAAGTCCCAAATGAAAAAACACAGGATTAGAACAAAGTTTTAGATAACAGCTAGCAGGTTTTCCTGTAAATCCAAGGAGAGATGTGTATTTGATAAAATTCAAGAATATCTGTGCTAATTAATATGAAGATTTCTATTCCAATTGGAATAAATAACATTTAAACAAAATATTTGCCCCAGAAATGCCCACGTATTTGAAAATTGACAGAAGGATTTGCCTGAGTGCTACTGAATTCTTCATTTTTAAAAATTGAATAAAATTATGGGAGTCCTTTTTAAAACAGCAATATTACATTTTGAAAGTCATTATTGAATTGATAGCCAGTTCTAAAAAGTCAATTAATATAAAATTATTTGATTATGTTCAAAAAGTGAAATCTGTTTAAAATTTTACCCTTTGTATTTTTCTCAATCTATCTGCCCATACCCACACTTTATTCAAGTCAAAAACAGTTTAGTGCACAACATATACAAAGCTCCAGAATAAGATGAACAAAAAGAGGGTCCTACCCTCAGCATATTTGCAATCTATATAAACAAAATCAAGCCATAGAGTGCCTGGCCAGCATAAAATAAATTCCACAGTAATGGCACAAAGAAAGTGTTGGGGAAGTCAAGAAGAAATATTAAGTAATTCTTGAACTCATGATTATAAACAGAAAAAAAGTGCTTTCATAATATCTTCATGGTTTTTAAAGCCTGAATCAGTCTTTTCTTAGCAAGTGAGGACATTCTGACTTGAGGTTAGCAGAGGATCTGCTACATTGCAAATGAACTTGTTTCTGTATATAACCTTGTCTATAAAAACCTTTTATATAAGAAAGAGATATAAGGTACAAACTTCCAGTTATAAAACAACTAAGTCCTGGCTATGTAATGAACAACATGATGACTTTAGTTAATAATACTGTTTTGCCTATTTGAAAGTTGCATAGAGAGTAAATCTTAAAAGTCCTTACCACAGGAAAAAAATGTGTAGCTATGCAAGGTGACATGTGTTAATTAGACTGACTGTGTTGATCATTTTGCAATATATACAAATATTGAATTATTATGTTGTACACCTGAAACTAATATTCAATGTTAATTACACCTCAATTTTTTTAAGTCAGCCATTAGAGTGTAAAACATGTTAAATTTGCTAATTCATGAAGAATTACCAAGTAATAAAACATATCTGTATTGGTCAATTAAAAAAAAAAAAAAGAAGGAAAGAAAAGACAATATACTCCCTGCCATAGTCCCACCACTGAGTAATTATATGACCCTGGGGAAGTCTTTCTACTTTTCCAGACCTCAATTTTGTTACATGTAATGTCAAAGAGTTGAAATGATACAGGGACAATTGCTACTCATACGGAATCAAAGTAAAATATCTACCTCATAACATATAGAAAAGTAACTTCCAATGATGTGAATATAATAGTAAAACTCTAAAACTTATGAAAACAAAGCCACTGTAGAAGCGTATCTGCCTGGCATTGGTTTAGAAGAATTTCCTTAACAAATGTGAAATGAGCAAAAGCTGTAAAGGAAAATACCTGACAAATACTGTCTTTTAAAACAAACAAACACCCAACCTGGATGAAGATATTTATATCTATCCAGAATATTAAAGAACTTTTCCAAATCTATTAGAAAAACATGGACAACCCAGTAGAAAATTGGTCAAAGTATATGAAACAATTCACAGAAGAGGAGAATGACTGATAACTTGTGAGAAGATGTTCATATCACTAAAAACCTCAGAAATGTCCATTAAAAATGACAATGAGATTCATACCCAGCAGGCTGAAAAAAACTGAAAGGCCTGGTAATACCGAGCTTTGCCAAAGATGTGTTTCCACTAGGACTCTCACGTGCTGCAGACAGGAATGTGAATTGGTGCTGTTAATTTGCGGGAAGACTTGGTGATATGTAGTACTTTTCGTGCTCTTGTGACTCAGCAACTCCCTTCTCACTACACATACAGAGGTAGACAAATACACTTCTGGCAGCATTATGTGTTATAACCAAACATTGGAAACAACTAAACTGACCGTGCTCAGTGGGTGGAGAAAACCTGCACAGTAGCATAGTAATGCAACAGTGTATCATACAGGACTACCCTAGCACAGGCTAGGATGTAATCATGCCACGGAGTCCTCTGAAGTACTTAAAACTAATTCACTAGCTCTACATGTAGCAACATGGCTAAATCTCAGAAATATAATTCTAAGGAAAAACAGAAAACTTACATGTTTTGGATGATGACATTGGTATAAAGTTTAACACAAAGCAGTACTACATTGTTATGGATGAGAAATGTAGGGAAGTAAAAAAACTGGGCAGGAAGGACTATCTCTGAGCTTCAGATAGGAGTTTAGGTCTGGGAGTGGGAGGAAGAAATGGCAGTGGGGAGCGTTTGGGACAAAGGAGGCTTCAGCTATATGGGAACCAAAAAAGAAAGAAGAGAAAGGGAGAGAAAGAAACAAGGAAGGAAAGGGAAAGAAGGAAAAGAAAAACACTACTGTCCTAGGGCTGGGCGGTGAAACCAGATGTCAGTAGGCCATGAATGACCCTCAAGATAGAGGAATTTTAAGGGGGGCTCCCAGCAAATGGAGCATCTGATAGTTTCATACAAACTTACAAACACTCCAGGAAAGAGTTTAGTTAGACTAAGGAGAAGAGCATGTCCTTTCTCCCTCAAGGTCTGCTAACTACTAGGTGTATTTACCCAAGTGCAAATAAGAAAGTGGATCAAGAATTCCAAGAACAAATATTTGAAAACAAAAGTGTGTTTTCATTCATTTCTGTGCTTGAAATCAAGGATCTATAATATAGTGCCATAAAATAAGCCCCTTTTAAATACACCCTCCAAGATGATCCAATTTAAAGCACAGCGACATTTAACTGCACAGGATAATCCCCCCTAAATCACTATCTTCCTTCTTCAAATCATTTACTGTGGCTAACAATTAGCCAAGGTGAACTAATATGCATTTTACAAACTTTCTTATGTATAGGACCTTTCTTAAATGTTACAACCACTGTAAAAGGGAAGAATGGGATGCTTAAGATCACCCACAGTATGACTGAAAGAAGAAAGTCAAGCTATAGGTAAGCCTGAACATTTATTTATTACTATAACCATTATTGTCTAAATATTACAAAATAACACATTTTTCTAACATTTCCCAATTTAAAAATCATTTTGCATTGCTTGTTATTGAGCCTTACAAAAACTACAAAAACAAGCTCCAGAAAGTGAATTCCTGGCTGTGAATTCCGGCAAAGTGAGGAATGGGGACTAGAACCCAGCTGCAGGCAGAAAGGGTTTCAGATGCCTGATGAGAGCTCTGAGGAGCACTGAGGCTGCCAAGTGTTAAGGTGCCATGACGCTACTATCAGGAGATACTGAGCCATTTTAATTCAAGATTATGACAGTGTGCAGGGTGGTGTCTATTCAGGGCTGGGAAATACCACCAACCATCATCAGCCCTAAACCCTACCTGGTAATGCAGTTATTTCCTCAGCTGGGGATGGGAAAGAGTATGTTTTGGAGCCTGGAGTCATTCCCTTAGTATCCTAGCAAATTAACAGCAAGAACCAACACTTACGAAGGAGCATTTACCAAATGTCAGGACTCAAAAGATAATTTATTTACCTTCCCTCCCTCCAGAGTCAGATACCCAATTTTACTTGAAGAAAACGAAGAGAAAATTTAAATGATTCAACCAAGGTCACAGCATAAGCTCTGAGCTAGAACTTGAAAACAGACCCTCTAACATTGAAGCCCGGACTCTCCCACTAACCTGTGCTAGTCTTGGAGGGCACCTCACAAGCAGAGCACTAAACAGTCCTGCTCCACAGTGACAAGGAGCTACAAAGCTTACTTCTCCAGAACCTGCTTTTAAAAATCCTTCCTTTAATATGGCATTCAACATCCTGGCATGTGGATATATGCTGCAAATACAATGGAAAGTTGATAACAACCTAAAGCAATAGTAGGAAACAAATTTAAACGTGAAAGAATTGAGGAACATTAAAGGTAGAGCATACTCTCCACAGGGAGAGTATGAACACTGGAGATTCAAATTACAAAAAAGATTGCTGAAGTGCAAAGAAAAACAGGGTATATTTCTTAGAACTGACAGCATATTTTACCAAATAAAATGAGCAAAAGCTGTAAAGGAAAAATACCTGACAAATACTTACACATAAACAGCACTTTTCAATCGCTTTAGTCAGGGGTCTTCATAAAGGATGAAGTGATGGGAAAGATGTTCAAAGTTTCTATGAACCTTCATAACTGATGTGTGTCACAAACTGATTCTCTTTCATTTAATTCCTCTGGGAAAAAGAGGTATCATAGCATGGGAATTGCCAGATCTTTATTTCTATAAAATTAAACACAATACCAAGATCAGACATTTTACATAATAATAACAATAGTGGTTAACACTTATTAAACACACTTGCTGTAATGCCAGGAACTATCCTAAATGCTTTACTTTATTATCTCATTTGATCCTCCCAACAAACTACCATTTGCCCTATTTTCCATAAGAGGAGGTTGAATAACTTACCCCCAAATCATACAGCCAGGAAACGGTAGAGCCAGGATTTTAATCAAGCAATTTGACTCTAGGCTGTTTGACTCTAAGCAGCTTGAACTCTAACCCATGATGATATGTCATCTAATTTAAACCTCCCCATAATCCTATGTCTTGTGAGATTCTTTTCATGGCCAATAAAATTGTGGCTCAAATGGCTTAAACAGTTGAAACAGAGCATTGTTTCAAATTCAGGTCAATCTATCTCCAAAACCCTTGTTCCTTCTACCATGGCTTCCCTGAAAGGAAAAAAGTTGCCAAAGATGATAGGTGACAGGTCTGGGAAACAAACTCTACAGACACACCCCAGATGTCAGAGAAGGTTTCACCTGCCTGTCAAAATCTAGGAAATTGTGTCCACAAACCCCTTTGTACATTTTGGGAGAAGTCCCAAGAGTGCGTCAAGGGCACTGTGTTCTTCTGGCCATCTCTGCCCTGTTTCCTACCTCTGCTGAATCCTAGTTCCCATTCTCCACTGTGGACCCAGGTAGGGAATTCAGCCCTGGGCCCATGATTTACACAGCCAGACCCAGATGTATGTATGGAACAGCCCTGTTGTTGAAAAAAAAAAGTGTTTTTAATTGTCCTGGACCTTTCCTCCACTCAAGCACCAGCCTCCCCTTACAGCCTCGTCTCTCTCTTCCTCCCCTCCTGACTTCTCCTTGAGCCCTCCATCTCCGGAACAAGAATTCCTTCCCCTTTCCCAGGGAGAGCAATTCAGTTTCCTGACTCCTATTTAGGACCCTACTCTGAGGTCTTCAATTACATATCCAGAAATGTTCTCAAGACGCTGGGCTTTCCATGATGGCTCTCTTTCCCACGGGAAGCGGAACTCTGGCCTTTACAGTAGCAATCTCCCTGCTACAAAACCTACCAAAGATCTTTTATAATCAGGAAAACTATGCACTGGGAAATAATGGCAAGACTACAAAAACTGAATGTCATGAAAATCTCAGTATACTTAACTCTTTTTAAGTTTATAATACCAAACAAAACATATAATATTGAATTAGATGCCCCTTTACTTCCAATTTTAAAATTGAGCATACATCTTATATAACTCCAGCTGCTACTGGCCTACCTCTGTATCCCTCAGTCCCCGTGGTAAGCCAGGAAGAAAGGAATCTCACTGGCCTAGCACTTGGCAGTCACATGGTTCCTAAGCCTGCCAGCTCCCCGCAGGGAGGCTGTTCCCTGGCAGCCTTCCCAGAGGCCTTGGCACTCCCATATCCCATGTGTATTCTTGCAGTGTCACCCACATTGTGCCTAAAGAAACTTACTGACATTTCTGGACTTTTTCACAGGAAAGGGAGCTAACACATTGTCTGAATGTTGCTACATGGATGGTTTAAAAACATTTCTATTCGGTTTGAGTATGACCCTGAGACACAGACTTACTCCAGGAAAAGCAGCTGATGCTACAGTTCTAGCCAAACCTGCAAGGAGTTATCTTAACCCAAGATAGCAGAGGCTAGCTTGGCAATGTGGAAAAGAGAATGAACACAAAATCCTAAGAAAGAAGTTTTGAAAAGAGGATAGGTAACTATAGTACACAAGGTAGCTCGCCAGGCAGTCGGGTAGAATGAAATGGGCATGGACTTTAGACCTTGTCCTTTACGTCTTGTCCAAGATCTTGTCATGGGCTTAGATCTTGTCTCTACTCCAAAGCAGCTCTGTGGACTTGAGCAAGTCACAGGACTTGTGAGTCTCAATTCCATTCTATGCAAATGGAGATAGTAAGAGCTACTATGCTGGTACGATGATTGGAAGGATGAAAGTCAAAGCACCTAGTATATTCCAACCACCTGGTGGAGGGGGCAACAAGTTATAGCTCGGATTGCTATTATATTACTTACTAAACTTGATATTTAAAACAAAATATTTATTGAGTACTTACTATGTGCCAGGCCCTGGACTAGACAATAGGGATATAGTGGGGAAAGGTCAGGCCCAGTCTCTGGCCCATGGAGCTTTAATTCTAGGGAGGAAAAATAGTCCTTAAACACATAATGACACAGCTAATTAATTATAATTGTGACAGTGCTATAAAGGGAAAGTATGGGGTCTTGTGAAAATACTCAACAAAGAGAGGCTGGCTAGAGTCTATTTCCTTAATGGGGCAGTGGGGGGAAGGCAGGGGGCAGGGAGGCCTAGGGGGCTTGTGAAGCCACCATGAGCAAGCAGCAAGGAAGCTGAGACCTGAGTGGAATGGGAACAGGTGGGGTGGGTGGGCACCATGAGAGCTTCAGGGCCAAGGAGCCAGAGGAGATGGCTCTAGGGAGGGCCAGTGGCCTCCCCTTGTGCTCAAGCAAGAGGGAGAGAGCAAAGACATGGGGCTTGCTCAGGGTCAGGGAATGTGTCCCTGAGAAGAGGGGGAAATCACTGAGGAGTTTTTGCAGGGAACGGGGTGATCCAGCTTTCGTATTCAGCGTGTCACTCCAGCTGGTCTGAGGATGAGGCCCTGGAGGGGGACCCAAGAGGAAGCCTGGAGCTGTATTTAAGGCACTGTTAGGATAATGCAGGCAATGGCTGGTGATATCTTAGAGTAGGAATTGTAGAGATTTGAAATGGTCCATGGCTCTAGCCTATCTCCTATTACAATGTTTCTCAGACTTGCCTGGTGACAAGATGTATGAAGTCTGTTAGAGATACAGGTTCCCAGGCTCACTCTCTGCAGACTCCATTTCATTGGGTCTGAGGCAAGGCCTCAGATCTACACAATCTGTACTTAAAATAAGCTTCCCTGGTGATTCTCCTCATTAGGCAACTTTGTCCAGTGCTACAAATAGACCTTCCTTTCCCATGTACACTAAACCGGTGCTCCTGGAGATGGCGCTTCTGCTGGCCCCAACCGGGGGAGATCCCAGGGGCAATCGCATAGTTCGCATATGCTTTTCCTGCTTCTAACTAAATTAAGTGGGGGCAAGGGATAGCAAAAGGTGACACAGCCAGAGTGACACATTCAGTACAAAAGCTGCCTCCTCCCACTCTCCTGTGAATGCTCCTTAATGACTTCCCGCTCTGTTTATGAATACAATCCACAATCCTGAGCACAGTCTGCAGGCCTTGTGACCACCAGTCCCACCTCCAGCTCTCTCCCTCTCGTTTGCTATAATATTTCCAATGTGAAGATAATCTAAATTGGTGGTTTTTTTACAGTGTGTTCCTTGAAATATGGGTGTTTTGAAATAGTGATGGATGCACAGCTGGCAGGAAAGGCAAAAGTGGGCACTCCATAGCTGCAAACACTGCCAGGAGAAACTAGCATAGAGCAGCGGAGGGCAGATCCTTCTGGTTCCAGTCTGTGAATGTCCTGCAGAGCTCACTGCACCTACCAGCCCATCAGCTGGTGAAGTTCGGACTTTGTTACTTGCCCTGTGCCAGCAACTCCAGAAGAAAATATCAAGATCCTACCTACATGGATTATGTCCTTGGAAAATTCTTTTCTGTATTGGGCTCGTTGTATGTTATCCAGGTGGAGGAAGAAGGAACATTTTGCAATCTGTGCACCCAGTTATCCTCTGCATCAAGCCATCGTAGAGGGGCAGTCAAGTACAGTGGGTGAGAGAACAAGCCTAAGAGTCAGATCCTTAGAGTTTAAATCCTGGTTCTTTTAGTCATTACCTGGAGAAATTACTTAATCTCTTTGTTCTTTCTCATCTTAAAAAGGAAATAATTCTGATGTATGAGTTTGTTAGGGCTATCATAACAAAGTACCACAAATTGGATGATTTTGACAACAGAAACTTATTTTCTCACAGTTCTGGAGGCTGGAGGTCTGAGATCAAGGCATCAGCAGGGTGGTTTCCTCTTAGGCCTCCTCCTTGGCTCGCAGATGGCACCCTTTCTGGGTCTTCCCATGGTCTTCCCTCTGCTCAGGTGTGTGTCCTAATCTCTTCTTATAAGACCAGTCATATTGGATTAGGTCCCAGTCTAATAACCTTATTTTACCTCTTTAAGGACCCTAACTCCAAATGCAGTCCCATTCTGAGGTATTGAGAGTTAGAACTTGAATATGTGAATTGGGAGGGGGGCACAATTCAGCCCGAATGAGTAATATCCATCCAATAGGGTTATCATCAGGATTTAAAAACCAAATATATGAGCCCAGCATATAGTAAGTGCCCAATAAATGTTATTATCTACACAAGCAACTGTTATGCATACGGTACTATGGCTGAAGTGCTGGGCCTGCAGTGAAGAACAAGATTGTAAGGTAACATTCTTACCTTCCTTGGGAAGCTGACATTCTATTGAGGGCAGACAAAACAGGTAAACAAAAATGGAGCCAGTGAGGTGTTCTGTGATGAGACTAAAACATAGTAATGCGAAAGAGCAAAAATGGCATACTTACTCTGCAAAGGGCCAGAGAGTAAATATTTCCAGCTTTACGGGCCACTATGACAGCTACTCAACTCTTATGTCATAGAGCAAAAGCAGCCATAGACAACACAAAAACAAATGAGCAAGCCGGCTGCCAATAAACTGGAATTTGGGATGCTGAAATCTGAATTTCATATAATTTTCATGTGTTATGATATATTCTTTTTCTACTGATTTTTTTTAACCATTTAAAATCGTAAAAATGATTCTAACCTCATGGGCCATATGAAAACAGGCGATGAGCAGTTGGCCCCTGGGTCTTAGTTTGTCCCTTGGAGGCCTGTGAATTAAACTGAAAAAAGACAAATTAGCAGAAGAAAAGACAAATTTGTATTCATTTTTGGGGAAGCACACAGAAAAATGTGACTCAAAGGAACAGTTAGAATTTGAAGTTTATGCACCATCCTAATAGGGAAGGTGGGAGAAGAGCACCTAGGGGAAAGCTAATGACTTTTAGGAAAGGTGAATGCACCTTTACGAGAATAGACGACGCATATGATGGGGCCTCTGGGACTGAGTCTGTTCAGGAGTCTCATATCCAGATAGGTGATGGGACACAATCTTCCACGGCTGTGGAGATGAGACGATTTGTGGCAGTGGGGTTCTTTCAGAAGGCTCTGCTTTAGACAGATAAAAGGAATTCAAGAGAAAAACCTCTTCCTGCATCTGTTGATTCTCAAATGCCTACAGCTCAAAATAATTTTTGTGCCACAGTGGCATACTGTGGACTCCTTTAACACCAGAAATAAACTCACTAGAAATAAACTGAAGCCATATTCTAGATCTGTGTCTGCATCTGGAACATCACAAGAGTATGAGCATCAGTGGTCAGCATCTTGAGTTTTCTGTGGTTTCTGGGCTGACTACAGGTTCTAGTAAAACTAAGATGAGCCCAGTGGTATTTAAAATATAACCGTACTGCACCACCATACACCCCTCAGAAGTTTCACACACACACACACACACACACACACACACACACACACACACAAACACAAATCTGGAGGTCTCCTTCAGGATGGAAGGAGGAGACAAATAGGTTTGTATGACCCTGATGTGCCATCGACATACAGTAGGGACACAGACACAAATCATGTGTGGTCAAACGGCTCCTTTAAAGGGGCTATGAATTCCTAGGGAAGGGAGGGCCTCTCAGGCTCCTCTTGATGTGAACTTGGAGCTGTGCCCAATTATATGCATACATCAACATCAGCCTGGACTCTTCAGGGAAGTTAAGACATGTGACCTGCACACTCACCCAAGAACTATCAGGGGCAAAGGTGACCCTCTGGTATCATATGTCATGTCAGAAAAACATCACACCCAGCATTTGTCCCAGATTATGTATGTTTTCAGAAAAGTCAAGTCCCTGTGAAGTGTAGGGTAGGTCAAGTCAGGACAGGGTAACAGGAAATAGTGAGGAACTAGTTAAATGCCCACTTCCCATCCTGAGTTTTGGATAATATGCTGCATGTCCTCTGTTCTTGGGGGCATGCCATTCACTCACCTTCGCATGTTTCTTCCTGACAAGAAAATTAAAGCCTGCTGTGTTCAGACTCTTCTCATAGGACTATTGAGTGGGATTCTTATCTTCCCAAGTTCAAGTGGGCTGTGCCTTTTCATTTCAGCTGTGCAAAAGTATGGTTTGCTTGACCAAACCTAGATTATTGGGAAATCTGTGACCTTCAGGTCAGAACTGACTCAATAGGGTGAGCCAATCAATAGGGTGAGAACCAAAACGGAGCAAAAGTCTACTTCTGGAAAGGAAAGGCCCCCTGGCATCCACTTTACCAAACTCAGACGATGGAGAAGTACATGAGAAACACACCCCAAAACACCTTAGAATTTGTGTTCTGACAAAGCATTGTATAGAACGAACTGTTAACTTTTATCCATCTTTATTTTGATACTATTGTGTGTCCATTCTTTATTTAAAGACTGTCCTTGGACTTAGTTAATATTATATATTGCACATTGTGAAATAAGTTAAACAATGGGGAAATAATCTTCTTGCAACAGTAACTTGCTTTCCCCTAAAAGATAATGAGTCTGAGTATCTCCCTGAAGAAATCGTTAAAATATAAGTTGGCAGTCACCGGTACAACTAGAAGGAGCAGTTTCAAGGGCTATAACTTGTAGGTACTTAGATCTTCAGTGCAAGGTATTAAGTCTTTAAATGTGTCTTGCAGTCAGTCAGTCAGTCAGTCAGCCAACAAATATTTATTGGTCTAACATGTGCACAGCACTGTGCTAGTGCGGGGGTACACTGAGAAAGAAGACATGTAAAGACCAGAAAGAGGATTAAAACAGAAGAACAGGGCAACTGAGAATTATCTGAGATGGAGTAATCAAGAATGACCTCTCTGAGGCTGTCTGTGACATTTAAACAGAAACTGAAGCAGATGCAAATCTTTGAAGTAACTAAGGGCAAGGAATACCAGTGTGGTGGGTCTGTGTTGAGGGTGGCAGTGGGGAGTGGGGGTGGGGATGGGGGTGGCTGGAGAAGAAAACTGGAAGTCATTGATGGGTTTTAAGGAAGGAGAGGATAAGACCATCCTTCATAGGGTGGGAAGGGGAAGCAAGGAAATTAATTACAGAGTGCTTTTGCATTAGGTCTCAGGAGAAAAGCAGGAGGCTTACATAAGGTGGTAATAGATAGGGTATATTTTCAAAGAAGAATCGACTGGACTTAAAAAATAATTTGACATGGGGATGGGGTTGAGAAAAAGATAGGAATTACCCAAGATTCCTACTTCTGGTTTAGGATCATCTCCCTTAGTTTATTTCCTTCAAGTAACTTACCACAGTGAACACAGTTGAAGCCATTACCTTCTTAATTTGTTTGTTTACTTGTTTATTCTTTCCATCTAGAATAATGCTGGCTAACAGAAAAACAATGCAAGCCTCATCTGTAATTCTTAATTTGCTAGTAACCACATTCAAAAGGAAATATTAATTTTAGTGATATAGTTTACTTAATTCAATATATCCAAAATATTATCTCAACAAGTAACCAATATAGAAAGTAATGAGAGTTTACATTTGTGTGTGTGTGTACTAAGTCTCCAAAATATTGTATGTATTTTACACTGACAGCACATCTCAATTCAGACTAGCCACATTTTAACTCCGTAGTGGCTAGTGGCTATGTGCTGGTATGAGCCACTGAGGGTGGGTCCATTCAGTCTAGTTCATCGTTTATTTTCAGCAACTGCAACATTTAGCGACATACAGGGAGCATTTGATAAATTTTGAATGAATGAATAAATGCCTGGTGATGAGAGCCTTTTTGGAGTTATTCATTTTAGGGGTGGGGATCAAAGCTTCCATTTTGAACTCATTCAATCTGAGGTGTCTGTGAGACCTCTAGTTGGAGAAGTCAAGAAAGCATATGGATAGGAGAGCCTGGGATCTGGATAAAGACATCAGTTTGACACCTTGATGCAAGGGGATTATTGTGGATTATTTTGGGAAAGAGAGCCAAGAAAAGAAAGGGCCCAGACCCTACCCTCAGTGATACCAACATTTAAATGTTGAGTGAGAGAAGAGGAAAATCAGGAGAATGTGTGGTGTTAAGACATCAAAAGAGTTAAGTTTCTCAGGGAGAAAGGAGCAGTCAACTGCTAAGAGGTCAAGTAAAAATATATACCTCTCTGAGGTTGCCCACACTCCCCTTTCTCTAAGTGCATACTTTTGCCTTAAATAAAGACTTCTCATTGCTCTGTGTTTTGTCTCTGTGCTCTTCCAGTGGTAATCATCTTTGTTACTTTGCTATTTCATTCAATTTTCTAGACTTAAGCACAAGTCTTCACTCTTTCTGTCCTACTTCAGATGAGAAGGGAGGGGCTACTGAGATCTCTGATTTGGGCTTGCAGATTCCCTTTGCCTGAGGGACTCAGACAGACTGCAGCTGTATGATCATGCTCTTTAGAAGCCTGCCTGAAAATCTCCTTTCTTTGCCTTTGGGAAGTTCTCAGAACATAATCTTACTCCATCCAGTGCTCTGCGGCTCCCCCAGATCCTGCGGTGGTAGGGGCTTAGTTCCCACACAGTGCAAATCAAGTGGACACAGAACACCAGGTGATCCTGACTTCAGGAGTTGGCAAAGGATCTGCCCTACACTGAGAAGGAATTAAGTGAACTTTCCTTTCCTCCCTTTGCTCTTCCTTGTACTGTGCTGCCTGCATAGCTGCTGCCATTCACTGCTTCTCTCACTTTAATAGTTTCTTTCTTACCTACACTCATCTGACCTGTTCAGAATTCTTTCTCATCAGAGTCAAGAACCCTCCTCTCCTGTCTGGGTTGAGTTCTCACCTAGTGTGCAGGGAAAGACCTCCCCAGACGCAGCTGCCTGACAACACTACGAGGAACAAGGTGTCAAAAATTCTAGGTGTTATAATTGGAGGTCAAAAGGCACTGAGGAAATTTGCAATAACCCCCAGTTAGGTAATATTGGCCTAGTTCCTTACTTTAAAGATGATGCCAAATGTCTATTAATTCTCAAACCCCTGGTAAAGTCACAGATACTCATGCTCCTTCCATGAACCTCTATGGTCCCATGTTATTCCCAGTGCTTTAAAATATATTCTTTAAATAATGCTGGACTAGAGTTTTGGGTTCTAGATCTGCCTCTTCCATAAACTACCAGGTATCTTGACCTTTTGAAGGCCAAATTTCTTTGTATTTCAAAAAAAAGAGAGATCTCTCTCTGACTTAAGTATTACCGAGGGCTTAAAGGATATAATTGTGAAAAGTGTGGCAGGAATGTTAAGATCTCAATGTGCCTATCTTCTTAGTCCTTTAAAAAAAATTTTTTTAAGGCCCACTTAAGGTCTTAGGATGCTGTCTTTAAGGTTTTCGTGAATGGGGCAAAAAGCTGGGGGAGGGGGAGGCGGTGTCCACTGAGAGGCATTATGTCACCATCCACAGTCAGTCCTCTAGATAATTCTGTAAGATAAATTTAATACAAGCAATTTATTGATCCTGTTCTCCAAGATAGTGGTTACCCTCAAGCCCTGGGAGCCTATCATTTAGGACTGCTTGCCCTGCCTTAAGATAGATTGTTAGCTGATTACCAAAGAATATGTTAAGAATCTTACCTCCTAACTCCCTGGTTTTTAAAACGGAATCTGAGTCTTAAGATGGAGTTCCTCCTCTTCTTACTATACTATTTATCACATTTTTCATCATAGGCAGGAAAAATTAATCATGACGCTTGTCTCATGTCCCTGCCCTACCCCAGTAGGACTCCATTTCCTCAATGCAGTTTTACTACTCCTACAGTGCCTTAGTGTAAATTAATAACAACTTTATTCAAGAGAAAGGTCATTTGCTAACATTTTTCAAGTGTGTTGTTATAGGTAAATTAAGTTTCTTTATTGCCTTTCAAAGCACATAAAGAATGGCATAATCTAGTTTAAACTCTGTGGCTAAGTAGTTGTGTGACCTTGAATAAGACTGTATCTTTCCTGTGCTTTCCTGCATCCTTATCTACAGAACAGAGGGGTTAAACCAGATGATATCTAGTTGTTAAAGTAATTTATGATTTAATGTTATAGTTAATTAGGGTTAACTCTGTCCACATATTTAACTTCAAATTTGATCAGTGTGCAAAGGTCATCCTAAACAAAGTCAAGAAACCTAGGAATGAATTCCAAGTGCACCACCAGGTAGAGGTATAATTGTGGATAAGAGGGGATAACTTCACTTTTCCCCTGTGTTAATAGGATTATACTCATGCTTACCTTTCAGGATTGTTTTGAGGACTGAATTTTTCTGATCTGTATTTTACTAGAGAAATTAGAAGTGCAACTATTGTTAAAGTAGATGTTTGAAACACTGTATATATTATCACTCCCAACAAATAACAGGTGAAGGATAATAAATAAGGATAAATAACTTATTTATCCTTAGGGCATACAACTTGTTACATTTGATGAGTGGCCACAGATTATGGCATTGGAATACTCTCAATGTGAGAATGAAGACAACTGTAACCTTGGTATCTCCAGAGAGCACCTGTCTTTGAATGTTTACAAGAAAATAGGGGCATACAGTAAAAATGAAACAAGAAAATGGGAAGGAAAGAAATCACAAAAAAAGGAAGGCGCAATTAGGAAATTAAAGGCGAATTAGAAGAAGCAGCAGGGACGGGGAGGGGAAGCTGGCATCAGCAGGGCAGGAGCGGAGCCAGTTAGATTGGGGGCAGAGGTAGGTGGCGAACGAGTGGCTAGTCCAGTGACTTGCCAAGGAGGCACCGGGCCGAGGAGGAGGGAGGAGGGTGGGGCTTGGCAAAGGGCAAAGGCAGGACAAGACTTAAAAAGGAGATGACTCTAGATAGTTGATGCCACGAGCGACGCCCAGGGCAAGGAAACCCAACGAGAGATCACAGGAGGAAAGGCCCAGCACGGAGGCCGCCCTCGGGCTCGCGAGGAGCGCGCAGACCGAGAGCAGAGCTCCTGGGAGCGCCGCAGCCCGGCACCATGTGCGAGCTGTACAGCAAGCAGGACACCCTGGCACTGAGGAGCAGGCACATCGGGTAAGGGCTCCCTGCCCCGAGGGAAGGCGCAGAGACGGGGAGACGGCGAGAGCGGGGCGCGCCGGAGCTCCGCGAGGACGGCTGCCGCGGATGCAGGACGCGCCGCCGCCGCCCAGCCGGCTCCCGCGGCTCCCCGCGCTCCGCCGCCCGCCGACAACAGGCGGCTGCCGGTCAGGAGGGCGACCAGCCCGAGGAGTAAACACCCGCCGAGGGTGGGCGCCGGCAGGGAGGCGGGTCGCTCTTCGCCACGCCCAGCGACGCAAAACTTTCAAAACTATGAACGCAGAAGTATTTTTGATGATGGCAATTTTTGAACACAAACTGATACTTGACAACTTTTGTTTAAAGTGAGCTTCCTCTTCCTGCATGTTTGGTTAAGAGGTAAAGGGTTAATCCAGGAATAAAAAAAAACAAAAAACGTTGGAACCTCTTTCTTAAGACTAAGATGCTTCTTACCTATCCTGGTCTGTCAAACTGTGCCCTCACTGCAATTCGACAAGGCAGTATCCCTCTTATCTACTTTTGTTTTGCGCCTGTTCTAAACGACTTGGTCACACCCTGGTGAGAGTACAGGACTGAACGGTAAATCAGACCTGGCCTCTGGTCCTAGCGGGCTGTCATGTTCCCTGTGTGACCTCTGTCAAATTTAATGTCTTCTTCTATGAAAGTTTGCAAAACATTATGCTTCACAGGAGCGCGTGAGAGTGAGATTAATAAATGTGAGTACGTTTTTAAAAAGGTAAATGTAAATATGAATGATGATTGTAGCCACTGGTGATCCCTTGCCACCAAAATCAAAGACCTGCATTATTTACGTGTAATTAATAAGCGTTCAAGTGGGTAGGTGTGAGAAAGGACTGGGGGACACAGGAAAGAAAAGAGCCAATATCCTCTTGGAAGAAATGCTGGGGAGTCTCTCATACTGATCTGATCTCAACCTGGTAGGTTTCTAGATGGTTTAAGATAGTAGTCAGATCTCTGTCCAGCCGCGTGTAACATAGAATGCTCAGATTCCTCTCTCACTGCCTGATCCCTCCCTTACTTTTATCTAATCACCACTCCTCTCTGTTAATTTTCGATCCTATCTGGTTAGACTCCAATGAAATCTAATAATTTCTGATGTGAGCAGAACAAATTCTGTACAAGGAGGAGTGTAGCCATCGACTGGAATAATAATTTTACCTGAAGTCTGAGTGGTCAGGTAGAAAGGATGTTAACAAGGCAAGGTGAAGTCTGCAGTTTTCAGCCCACGCTTGTAACAAAAGTTTTCTCTGGATTTTAACTCATACGTATAAGTTAAAGCTGAGTTTGCTCACCATTTTAGGGGGTGATTCTTAATTTTAGGCAATTTTAAAATTTAAGATTGTTCACAATAATCAAAATACTTCCTAAACAGTTGCATATCCATTAAATAAATAGGTATTTAATTATCCTCTAAACTAACTCCAATATGTATGGCATTTTTGTGCATGCAAAATAACCAAAATAAAAATGATATATGCAGCTTTAATTTCTAAATGTCCATAGAGCCAAGATCAAAAGCTTTTGTTGATGTTACTTTGTTGCTAAAATTTATACTCCAGATGTTCATCCAAATAACCAAAAACATGAATGACTTTTTATTATGCTCAAAAGAGTGGGGTTAATTGTTAGGAAGAATTAGATTTCATTATTTAAGAGGAGAAAATCCATTTGATTCAGAACAGGTACCACTGACCAGACATGGAAATGAACTATAAAATCTTCACAATATTTAACACTAGGTTATTTGTATTCAGCTTTCAGTGCTATTCGTTTCTTTATAAATTAGATTAGAAGGAGAGAGAGAGAGAGAGGAGAGAGAAAGCAAGCACTATCTTGGGACATGGTATAAGACAATCTACTTTCAAATTCTGGTTTTCTCTCTTACTGGCTATGTAATCTTGAATGTTTCCTAATCTTGTCTGTGCCTCAGTTTCCTCTCTATAAAAGTAAAAATGTTCATAACCCCATTATGTGATTATTGGGAGTATTAAATGAAATAATACTTGGAATACTGTCAGCTCCTGACACATAGTAAGCCCCCCAAAATGGATCAGGGGGTCCCCTGAACAGAATTTCCCAAAGGAAAATTAGTCATTGGTTTGTATAATTAGAGCCATCAGAGCAGTTGACCCAAGTGCTTCTGAGTTGGCAAATCATGGCAAATTTAGGATAACAAGCATAAGAAATGTGAGCAGTGTCACAAATAGGGGATTAAGGTAAAAGTTTCCAGTCTAATATGAAATGAAAAAAAAAGTACGTTGTTCTTTCCCTTTCCTTTATGCAGTTGTAATATTCCACTGATCATGACCTTCATTGAGAAGCAAAAGCACAGATCAAACTACCAGACCAAAGTGTTTCCTTTCATTATTTCTAGGCCCTCATGCAAAGTTTTCTTTGCTGCGGATCCCATCAAAATAGTGCGAGCCCAGCGGCAGTACATGTTTGACGAGCAAGGTGCACAGTACTTGGACTGCATCAACAATGTTGCCCATGGTAAATGTTCTTTGTTGCTTCTTGAAGGATGCATTTAGGCAAGAGTGAGACTTGGCACCATTAATATTTATCCCAGGAATTGCAGTGGCTGTGAGTCCTTGGCTGAACGGGGGCAGCAGTCACAGCAAAATGTGGGAGAGAAAGCAGCTCATCTATTTTTTTGCTTGCTTCAGGATCCCCCTCACTTTCCAGGCATTTCGAACTGTAGCTCATTTGAGGGGTTTGTGTTTTCTAACTTGTAGTGGGACACTGTCACCCAGAAGTGGTCAAAGCTGCCCTGAAACAGATGGAACTGCTCAATACAAATTCTCGATTCCTGCATGACAACATTGTTGAGTATGCCAAGCGCCTTTCAGCAACCCTGCCGGAGAAACTCTCTGTTTGCTATTTTACAAATTCAGGGTATGTTTCAAGTTTCCCCACCCACCCCCATTCCCACCAATCTCTTTGTTTACTCTCTCACACATACCTTTCTTTTTGATTCGTGATGGAGCACAGATGGTGAAAAGGTTTTTTGAGATTTTTGCCTTCTACTAAGTAACTACACACTGGAGACTTGACGGTATTGGTTTTTCTGCTCTACTCTGTGAGCGGATTGTAGATAGGATGCAGGACAGAGCCCATCACAACAATCTGATGATCAACATGTGCATGCAACTCAACTTATTATTGCCACGGATTTCTTGGTGAAAGACCGGGAAAGCATACCTTTAAGTATCCCTAGAGGATAGGTACTTGGATCATAACCATGGTAAAAAATATTCAAGTCTGGTGTTCATGTGAGAAAATCTAACTAGTCAAATGACACTCATCTCTTCAGGCAGAAGTGTAAGTAGCTAAAGAATTGATCATCCTAGATAGTTCTTTCAAAGCAAGAGTGAAGTATTTTAGCAAGGAAAGAACTACCAAACAAGCTCTAACTTTTGTAAGATTTGTTACTGATTTGTTTTCTTAGGCAATTAAGCATATTTCCCCAATACAAACAGAAAGAAAGGAGGAGTAAATTCAAGTGGATAGGTTCCAACTTTTAAATTCTGTGAATTCAAATTATTATGTATCTGTTTTATGGAATATTTTAAAGACGTTAAAAAGTATGTTTTGAAAATGCCTGCTTAATGACATGTGGAAATCTCACAGTGCAATGTTATGTTGGGAGGAAAGCTGTGCAGCCAGCATAAACTCATGTTTTAAAAATGATACATATATGTACATGTATTAAAACTACTAGAAATTCTTTAACATAAATGTTCCATTATATGATTCTTTGATTTACTTTTCTCTTTTCAATGAGATATTTTAAAACCAAATCTATAACCAGAAGATGGTTCTCTTTTTCTTTGTAAAGAATCAATCCTAATATTTTAGGATCTGATGTGTTATAAAGCATTCTTGCCTCAAAAAATTAAATATAGTATTGGATTTTTTACTTCTAAAGAATCTTACATTGCCAAAGAAGGATTAGTCCTAAAGAGCACTGCCACCAAAGACTGGAGGACAAAGAATAACCGTGGAGTCAAACAGGCTCCAGTCTGAATGCTGGCTCTACCTCTTATTAGCTGTGAGAACTTACTCTGGTTGTTTAACCTCTCTGAGGCTGTTTCCTCATCTATAAAAGGTAGTTGGCAATACTTGGCTGGCAGAGTAGCTATGATCATAAATATAAGCAAAACACTCAATATGATGTCTGGCAGATAGTAAACATTTAACAAATGATTATTTTCTTCCTCTGTGTTTGAATGGTATGTTTAGACTCCCTAAATGAGATAGAAAAATCATGATATTCATTTTATAAATAAGGAGCTAATCAAATACCAGGTCAGTCAAACATCATTTAATAGCCAAGTTAATGGGTCCTTGTCACACCCCATTCCTCCATTGAGATCAGCCTTCCTGCAGGCTTCCTAGCATCCTCAGCGTTTGTCACCTACTGATGTGGCTCAGCTGGAGAGAAGTGTGAAATGAGCAGCTCATCTTTAATTTGTATAGGGTTTCCTCTGCACATCTCATTCTTCACTGAAGATGTTTGGGGAACATGTATTGGAAGAATGAAGTGAGTTTGCTCAGTGGGCAAGACTGAAAGGACGAGAGAGGAATTCAGCTAATTTCTTTATAAATGTCTGAATAACTAGAATCTTAAAAAACTTTTGTAATGAACATTTTAAAATATTTTGAGAGGCACTTACATCACATTGACTCTTCTATTGTATCTTTATAGATCTGAAGCCAATGACTTAGCCTTACGCCTGGCTTGGCAGTTCAGAGGCCACCAAGACGTGATCACTCTTGACCAGTAAGTCTTGGACTTTTGCAAGACTTCTAAGCAGGAGCTCCTTCAGAGATGAAATTATACTGATCCTATCCATACTAACACCATAAGCACATATGGAGGAGGGAGAGTGTGTGGCACAATGATTTTTATTATGTTTTAAGGGATCAAGGTCAGATTAGGTCTGGAGGGTACTTAATTCTTCTAAGTACCTGCAAACAGGGGAGGGCCTGCTGGGGGCTGTGGTCATGGCCTCATGGGTTTTACATGAATCGGGGCCTGCTTTTCATACATTAACTATTTACTGAGCCACTACAATGTGTAAGTAACTCAATATTTTTTTAAATAAAAATAAAAAAAATTAATTTCCTAAACATCCAAGCATTCATGTCACTGTTGTGATTACCCAATGTAACTAATGTACAAGATACAATTTAGAGCAAATTTTAAAGAAAGCAAGCACCCAAATAAAAGATAGTATTTCCTCATTGGTGTGTGACTATTAACAATCACTATTAATCTTATCTCCCAAACATGAATTTTTATTACATTTTAAACAAGAACTCTGACAAGTATTATCTTCATTAAGGAGATTTTTTTCTTAAATGTTCTGTGTACCTCTCCACTCCACTAATCTCAGGCACAGGACTAAACTGAGCACGTACCTCATTTCTGTTTTTTTTCCCTCAGCAATATTTCAAGACTATATTACTGGATTTACATCTATTCTTCTAATTAAGTGCTGTCTTATAGGAATATAATATGAGCCACATAAGGAATTTAAAATTTTCTAGTAACGATTATATCCAAAATAGCATCATTTCAACATATAATCAATATAAAAGATACTGATAATCTTCTTTTCTTTTTTGTATTAAGTCTTCAGAATCCCACATGTGTCTTACATGTACAGCACATCTCAATTCAGGCTTGCTGCATTTCAAGTGCTCAGGAGCTGCCTGTGAGGGGCGGCTGCCACGGGGAACAGAGCAGCTCAAAGTACTGAATGTCATGCCTTTCAGTGATGGATGCAGCGACCGCCCTTTGCTCCAGCTACCACAATAGAGCTGCAGTGAGCATTCTTGCACATGCGCTGTTATAGACCTTCCTGAGGACTTCTTTGGGATAAACACCCAGAAACAGGATTGCTAGGCCACAGGGGTACTATGAACATTGTTAATTTGACCACCCCCAGATCAGTCTCCAGAGTGCTTGCAACACTCCACACAGTGCATAAAATTGCCCATTTTCCCATATTCTCACCAAAACCTAACAGTATCTTGCTTTCTCATTTTTTCCCTATTTTCTGCCGGTCTAATAGGTATAAAATGATATCTATGTTGTTTTAACTTGCAATTATATAATTTTAATTTGCAATTTAATTTACTAATCATAAGTTTCAGTATATCTTCATATACTTATTATGCATTCATGAATTCTCTTCTGAGAATTACCTGTCCATATTTTTTGCCCATTTTAGTATTGGAATTCTCATCCTTTTCTTGTTGGTTTATGGTGGTTTGTATAGCCTAGATCAGAGGATCTTAACCTTGACTGTGTTTTAGAAATACCTGGGGAAATCTTTTTTCAATGCCAATTCCCCAGCTCCACCCCACACCAATAAAAAAGAATCTCTGGAGGTGAAGTTTAGGAAACTGTATATTTTTAAGTTTCCCAAGTAATCATAATATGCAGGCAGAGTTGAGAACCACCATTTTGGACATTAATCTCTTTAGCTAGAGACATTTCAATATCATTTCCTAATGTGTCGTCTGTCTTTTGACTTTGTCCATGGTATCTATCCTTCAACAGAAATCTTTAATTTTGATCAAATCAAATAAGTAAAATTTTCAGCTTATGGTTTGTGTTATCTAAGTTTTGTTAATATCTTTTCCCCAACAGCCATCCTACCTGCTAGATCATGAAAATGTTCTTCTTCATTTTCTTCTACTACCTTTATAATTACTCCTCATATTGAATCCACCTGGAATGTACTGTGTTACTGTTTATGTATGGATGTGTCTCTAAGCTCACCTTCTGTCCCAGTCATCTCTTTGTTCTTATCCAAACAGTACATAAGTTTTATTACAATGGCTTTGTAGCATGTTTTAATCTATGGTAGGGGAAGTCCTCCCTCTTTGCTTTTCCTATTCATGGTCCTTTTATAATTTATTTTCCAGATCTCCTAATTATATTTCTGGGCAAGGAACAGAAAAGGGAACATCATAGCCACTTGTATTTTAAGTGAGAAAAAGGAATTTCATAGCCACTTGATCACCTCTATTCTTAGTTCTTCTTGAAGAGACCAACTTGTATTTGCTGAATACATGCAATTGGACACCCCTTAGAGACCATCCTGAAAATAAATACAGTCCATTTTATGATATAACGTTGTTTATAAAATTTAGTGGGATTTAACTATCACATCACTTTTAAAGAATAAATGCACATCACTTTTTTATGAAGCTATAGAAAATAATTTTGTGCTTTTCAACAACCTGATTTAGCAGATCTAATATAATCCAATGAAGTTAGGGTTTTTTTGTCCTGCTAAAAAAAAATGTTCTGTGAGGATACATACTTGGCTTTCTATGTGTTTTCTTACATGAATCAGAACTGGACAAATTAAATGGGCAGTCTTGCCAAGAAAAATTAGATCCCGTACAGTTAAATCTGGCACCAATGTTGAGATTCTCCCTGGATGATACACAATGTTATGTTTCATGTACCAGAAAAGCATTCTTCTTTGAGTGTTTTTGGTTACTGTTCTTTTTCTTCTCAGTGCTTACCATGGTCACCTGTCATCTTTAATTGAGATCAGTCCATATAAATTTCGAAAGGGCAAAGATGTCAAGAAAGAATTTGTGCATGTGGTAGGTATCTTAGAATCCAAGAATCAGAATGTAGGTATTGGAAGAATGCCTAATGATAATCCAGTCCAACCCGTTCATTGAAATGAAACCATCAAAAAGAAACTAAGACCTAGAACAGTTATGTGGTTTACTAAAGTCAGAGAGTTCCATGACAGGGTGTGGTTTAAAATCCATTAATGACTATCACAATGGACAAGTTAGTATAGTGGTTTGATAGATATCATTCACAGTTCTCATTTTATTTTTCTTGCCCCAAGATCTTCAACTGCTTTTCCTATCACTGATGTCAGCTGAAAATTCAGAGTTGAATCAGAAATTCAGAGTTATTGTCTTAAAATTAAATTGCTTTATGCTAAATTAATTTATAGATTTACTGGGTGAAATAAATAATGAATAAAGAAAATAAAACCAATCAAGCTGCAGAAAAAGTAAAACTCATTTGGTTTAATTAGGGGTTAGTAGACTTTTTAAAGAGAATCATTAATACCTTCCTTCACGTTTTTAAGATCTGGAATCAGTGCTAAAGTACTCTAGTTTCCTAAGTGATTGCAATTTACTATACAGTTATCGAGTTGGTTTTTTTAGTATACAATAGTTAATATAGTTTCTATTCAGTGAAATTTTCAAATAATATAATCACACTTGTTGATCTGAATTTGCCCCTTTTATGAATAAGGAGGCAGTCTTGAATTACAAGGGTCTAGTAGGTAATCCAAGTCCTGTTCACAATGCTGAGATTACAGTTCTCACAGAATTCAGAAATGTTAAGGAAAAGAACAAAAGAACTTAGTCACTTAAATCCACATGCTCACCTTTCTAATATGCTCTTATGAAGAAATGCCTTTTTTTTTAAGTTCATTTGTTCAAGAGTCAAATCCATGAGACACTGTATTATTTGCTGTTTTCAGGCACCAAATCCAGATACTTACAGAGGAAAATACAGAGAAGACCATGCGGACCCAGCTGGTGCTTATGCAGATGAGGTGAAGAAAATTATTGAAGAAGCTCATAGCAGTGGAAGGAAGGTTTGTATTTACAGCTTTGGAAATATTTTAACACCTTTTCTAAAATGGATTGAAATCACTGTGATACACTGGAGAGGTGGAAAAGGATTACATTCTTCTCTGGTTACATTTCCACTTGGTTCATATTTCAAAAATTCATTATCATAGTCATGCCTCTAAGACTATCTCTTTTTATTTATCCTGGAAATGAAATCACCATGCCCTTTCCAGAACTGGTGGCCTAATTTTGACCTTCCCAGTGGAACGTAGTCTTTGGTCCAAAGGGGTGGAGGTGGGGGAGGATTGAGGAAGGTGCTAGCCCACGAACAGACTATTCCAACAGAGAGTAGCACAAAGGGCCAGTGCATGGGGAAGAGAAAGGAAGGGGTGGGGTGGAGTGGCCCTGGGGCCTCACGACCAGTGCAGACTCCCAGGCCCAGAGTGCCCTGGGGCTTCCCTTGAACTGGTTCAACTTTCCTAAAGCTGCAGAGCCTGGGTAGTCCAAGGCAAAAACTGTTCTCCCAATTTGGACCCAGACTCCTAAGGCAGAACCAGATCCTCCAGAGCAGGAAAAGGATTTCCGGTTTCTCAGTCTTCACCCTGTCTTCAGCTTAACATTAAATTCTTGCCCACTGGGAGGTTACTCAGGTGGAGCTTTAATGTGATTTGACACATGCTTTGCCTTCAAACTAGCTTATGGCATTTACATGGCTATAAAAAAAAATCTTAACTGAGATGAAAATAAAGCGTTCCCTTTTTTTCCAATTCAAATATTTTTATTTTAATGACTGGAAAGTCATTTGCATTTCTGCATTTCTGAAGTGTTTCTTCCTTTTCTTCCCATCCCATTCATTTGTCATATCTTCTGAAATGATATCTGTGCAGTTGGACCTACGCTCTACCTGCTGTGGGGAGCTTCATACTCTTTTCCTCTTCAGATGTAGCCAATCCTCTTTTCACGAACCATAATTCCTCTGGTGAAACAAAGTTTACATTACCAAGACCATATCATCTTTTTGCTGCTAAAAAGGCTTGGATAATTTTTTGAGGACATTAGCATTCAGTGCTGATTGAATTGATGCTGTCTTGATGACAGTGCTGAAGGCCATGAACTCTGTGAGTTGGATTCTTCAGTATATTAGATGTGCTAACAAAGTCATGGAATTTTAGAGGAGAAATCTCTTGAGTCTAATGGCCTTACTTTATAGCTAATAAACAAAGTGTTTAAAAGTGGAGAACTTAAGCCAAAGTGATACAGTTACTAAGAGCTGATCTGGACCAGAACCTTCGTTCTCTTGCCTTTGTATCTCATACTATTTCTATTCTTTCTCTTCTTAAATCAGTGTTATTTATTTTCTACTTCTCCTTTCCTATACTCCAGAACACTTCCTCTGTAGTTCCAATGGTGAACTAATTCCTTTGAGTTAAGCCTGGTTCAAAGAAATACAGCAAAGTAGTTAAAGTGTGTGGCCACAAGTTACTCTCCCATTTCTTTAGTGCAAATTTGAGGCTAGGCTGTCCTGTTTCACCAGCCTGAGGAAACAGACACCCAGTTTTGTGTTTAGAACCTGGGTGATTTTTTAGTCTTATCAAAGACTGATCAAGCAATCAAGCCACTAGTCCTATATAGTTGGTTCTAATGAAGACACAGCATTTAAATGAATCATGGAGAAACAGGAGGCACCCGCTCTTCCATTTCTTGTGGTGGGTTCACTGGTACTTTAGAAACTCAGAAATGAATGCTTCAGATCAGGTGCTTTTCCAGCATAGACAGCTTTTCTTTTCTTTTGTATCAAATGACCTATTTGCCATTTGCCACACATCCATTCCTAATCATTTGTTAAACAACCCACTCTATAAGAAGTCCTCTCTTTTAGGGAGTTTGAGGGGGCCCTAATGGACTTTGACCCCATCTTTTCTTGTATAGATTGCTGCCTTTATTGCTGAATCCATGCAGAGTTGTGGCGGACAAATAATTCCTCCAGCAGGCTACTTCCAGAAAGTGGCAGAGTATGTACTTGACTTGGGCATCCTGGGTCATATTTCAGGCACTGTGACGATTATAGGGCCATACTGGTTGCTAAAATAGTGAAGTACTTCCAGACTAGCTGGTAAATAGCCACTTGGTAGTGCCTGTCACCTCAGGACTCCTAGAACTACTACACCTTCCCAAGACCCAGCAAATAAAGGGTTTGCACATGGTCCAGCAGGGGCACCTCAGCTCTCTGCTCCAGTCTGCGGCCTGGCATCCTCACTGATTGGCTGGTGCCCAAGCCTTACCAATTATTAAAAATTTGAAGACTAACCCTGCTAAACACTACTTCTTATTCACTCCTTATTCTTCCCACTTAAAATACTTTAAGTACAGCTTACTTTAAGCAGCACAAACACGAATAATGTACAGTATGTCTAATCTAGAAGTATGTGTTTAGATTACAAAGTCAGTAACATCACAAAGATGTCACTGGGGATTTGAGCACTGAAATGTTTTTAAAAAATATTACAAACTTCAGGTTAACAATATTTGTTTAAATTCTCTATAATCTGTATCTTTGTGGGTGGGTTTGGGAACTCTTCAGTGACCTGAAAACATTAGAACTGCCCTTTTGCTTTTCAGATATGTACACAGAGCTGGGGGTGTGTTTATAGCTGATGAAGTTCAGGTAGGCTTTGGCCGAGTTGGGAAACATTTCTGGAGCTTCCAAATGCACGGTGAGGACTTTGTTCCGGATATTGTCACAATGGGAAAACCAATGGGCAATGGCCACCCAATGGCGTGTGTGGTAACAACCCAAGAAATAGCAGAAGCCTTCAGCAGCTCTGGGATGGAGTATTTCAATACGGTAAGTTTTGGCCAATGTAGTACAAAATAAAGCTCAGCATTGCCAGTTACCCAGCCTAGCCAGACTTTGATCTAACTATATGTCATTCTATCTGGCATTATTCTCCTTGTATTTCCCCTTATAGGTCTTTCCTCATGCTAAAATGTCCTTATTAATTGTTTCAGTGATAAATGGCTGCCCGGCTAAACTCTAGAGGTTAAGCTATTTCATTAACAGATAATATGACCTGCTTTGTTTTGCATCACACTTAAATTCCCCAAACACTTCTGAAGTGTTTAGATGACTGAGTACTATAAATGTTCCTGTCATAGGAAATACTAAATTTATACTTTTGGGAAATGTTGTTTCATTGGTTTTACCCCCCAAAATCCTAAGCCTTAAGTGTGGAAAAATTATTATGACTTGTGAAGTATGTATAATGGACTTCTTAACAGCTAATAGTAAGATTCAAATCTAAGGACATGAACTGATTGGAGATAATGTCATTGTTTAGCTGTTTTCACAAAACTGTTCAAGGGCAGAAATCCATATTTCTGAACCACACTTGGAAATCCTTAATTCCCAAACACAATGTCTGTTTTTTGATTAGATGAACTAATAAGTTGCCTGGTAGTCCTGCATACCAGTTATCTGGCATGGAGAATATAATTGAAATGAGTTTTTTCTCAATCCTAAATGAATAGAATCTGGCTATATTCTAAATCTAAAATGCTAATATAACAAGAGAATGTTTTATTGAAGTTATATCTTTACTTGCTTATGTATGAGCCAAATTTCTCATAGATGAAGCAAGGCCACTAATTCAACTATTACGTTTTTTCATTGATCTTTCTGCTGTAGTATGGAGGAAATCCAGTGTCTTCTGCTGTTGGTTTGGCTGTCCTGGATGTAATTGAAAATGAAGACCTTCAAGGAAATGCCACAAGAGTAGGGAATTATCTTACAGAGTTACTGAATGAGCAGAAGATGAAACATACTTTGATAGGAGATATCAGGTATGTTTATCATGAAGGTGTCACAGAGATAGCTTTCATTTTCATTTTTCCAAAGGAAAATAGCTTATATTTTATCTTATATTTGATCTTATAAATTTAAAATAAATTACATAAAACTAAATCTAGAAAACACTGAAAAACATAAAGAACAAAACTCGTTCTTAACCCAGAAGCCAGATATCCATCACCCCTGTTAACTTTTGATGTGTATCTTTCCTGACTTTTATACCTAAAAAATAAACAAATAAAGCTGGAATAATTTCAGCACCTAAAGATGAAAAGAAAGAACTTAAAGTAACTCTGAATGATCTATTAAAAATTTTGACAACCTGGACACTTGATTTTTTTTGTAGCTATGTATAAACATCAAACATTTATCATCATTAATGTCCTGCATAACTGAAGAGCATGAGAAGGTTGTATTTAAGCCTTTTTCTTTTATAATTAAATGAAAAATACCAGATGACAAAAACTAGCAAGAGCTCTGGGTGCTAGTATGTATGTTGGAATCTTGGATTAGTTAGAATCAATAACAATTACCCTCAAAGGGAATCACTCAGCTTCAAATTAAACTGAAGTTTGGGGACAGTGTCAGCTTTCTATGACAATGCTTCATACAGTATGTACCAAATTTTCTTTCTCCGTCTCCCTCCCTCAGGGGTGTTGGCCTTTTTATCGGCATTGACTTGGTGAAGGACCATCGGAAGAGAACCCCCGCCACAGCCGAAGCTCAACACGTCATCTACCAGTAATCACACCCCCACACCTTTTTGATGTCTTGTCTTGAAAGATGTTCACCCCCTTGAAAGCTTTTTTACTTCCTCCAACCCCTCCAAATAAGGGAAGTTTGAGACACGTGCAGTTTATAAATGTGGGCTTCTTGTGAATACTACACTGTTCTACGTTCCCATCATTCTCAAATGATCTTAGTTGTCATTTGTACTCACATGTATTTTCTGTGCTAATTAGGATGAAAGAGAAAAGAGTACTTCTCAGTGCTGATGGACCTCACAGAAATGTGCTTAAAATAAAACCACCTATGTGCTTCACTGAAGAAGATGCAAAGTTTATGGTGGACCGACTTGATGGGATTCTAACAGGTCTGTCCCCAGATGGTTAAGATACCTTCCTGCTCTCTACCGTCCTCTACCATCATACACAACTGTGCACCTTGTTACTGATGACAGAGGTGAAGGGCAGTGAAAATGAATATGTAACTTGGTGGCTAGAAGTAGGAAAATACAGCTGAAAAATGGCAACTACATGAACTCTTAAATTGAAATTTTCTGTTTGTACTCACACAACTCCAAATCTAAGTTTTTACTGAAATGACACATGGTTTTATTTTTGTTATTTATTTTCACTTTTAAAAAAAACTGCATGTCTGCCTTGGACCATGCACCACCAATGCTTACTCTAATATTTCTGCATTGTCCCATGAAAATACATGAAACATTCTTAATAAAAATTAAAGGCTATCGGTTAATAGTTATTTGCTGTATGTTATATCATTTGACTTTATGTGTATTTCACATATTACAGTTTAATTTTTGAAGACCTTTGTTTGTCATTCAGAATTATAGCCATAATTTACCTTTTATTTGCCTGTGTTATATAACTGGTTTAATGTGCTTTTCCATTATGAGCATAAATTGAGATTAAAGAGGAAGCAACAGTGTAAAACCACATTGGAAAACATAAAACACTGTCAAATGTTACATCATTTTTGTGGTTGTTTCAGTTATATTTTTAGGATTCAACCTCTCTGCTCCCTTGTCAGTCTTCTATTAGGATAAGGAGGATAAACCAGAATGTAGAGCAGGGTAGCATACAAAACAGATAATTAATGTTTGGAAACTTGAGTTTCCAAATTATTTGTAATATGGTCACCATCTTTGGACCAAGAGTATGTTCACACCTAAACCTGGCAAACTTCCTTACACACCTGTGTTTGCTCTGGTCCCCTTGAAGGGCCAGGTGGAAGAAAGTATAGGTTGGGGCAAATCTGTCACTATTACCTAAAAGCCAAGTCAGCACTTGAGCATTGTTAATAGTGGGCTGAAGATTTCCTTTGAATAAAGTGACCGAGGCATAGCTAACAGAGGCTCAGTACCACTTGTAAATGACAATAATGAAAGGCTACAATAAAAGTTTAAAAACAGCAAGTTGAATAGCAGCACTTTTGAAACACATTACATTTACTTCTTTATTCTTCATTAAGGATATTACTACAGATACCAAAAATTTGTGTGTGTGGTATTGTTTTTAAGATTTTTATGTTATTCTGTCTTCTTCATTGTGTCTTCAGTTTTAGAAGAAGTCATTGGAGCTCAAAATGAGAGTGTGATTTCTGAGAATACTCCATGCAGAACAAAGGTAAGAGTCTGATACTTTACTTTTGGGAGAAAGTTTAGAGCTTTGGGATTTCGAGAAAAAGTATTGTAAATTTTTTAAAAATTGTACAATGATATCTAGAATAAAATCTGCCTTTGCTAGGGTTGACTGATTGTTGCAATTTTGAGTTCACAATTAAATTTCAAGTCAATTGTCACACCGTTTGAAAGGAATAAAGCCAAGACCCATTCTTACAGGATCATGCCCAGACCCCAAAACACCCTTAGATCTGCAAAGAGGACCTTCAAAAATATAGAAATGAAAATAAATGTCCTTCCTCTTTGTCTGAGGCCACCTGACACTGCCTTGGATTCCCACACACCACCCCTTAAAATCAGCAGAAGCAAGCAGTGTGGCTCTAAAATGCCAGTTTGGTCCTGAAGTGAACCATGTATAAACTTCGAACGGCAGCCAGAGCCTGCGAACTGTCCGGCACCCAGTGTCCTAGTTTCTGCATTTGATGTGCTTCCAGCAGAGGGCCTTTCCGTTCGCCCCAGGGTGTGAGAAAGAGCTCCTTGAGCCCAGGGAAACAAAGGGCAAAAAACTTGAGAGGCTTTGTTGCATAATTTGTTATTTGTTTATGACTGGGTTGCATAAAGGAACACTCAGTGCCTCCCACATGTCCAGTGCAGTCAGCTAAGTCCTTCTCCTGATTGAAAAACATTAGGCCCTTTGAATGATAGCAAATGATTTGCTAACAGGACTGCTTCTGTCTCTTGGTACAACACAACCAATTACAGAAATCAATTTTTAACTGCTCTTCAAGTAGCTTTTCAAGTCTAGGACAGAATCCCAGCTGTAAGAACTCAGCAAGCATTGAAAAGGAGCTTACAAAGGGAGCTCACCATGGGAAATCCCACTTTACAGTTAGCAAAGTTAGTGTACATATTTCTGAAATTTTGGCTTGGAGTCCCAGATTTAATGTTGACATCACATTTCAAATGTCTATGGAGGATGTCAGTCAGGGTTAGAGAGGAACAGGCAGCATTGTTGTGTCGTGTTGTATTCTGTTCTGTTCTCCCGTGGGTCGTGTTTGGTATTGGCCTGTTGCATCAGCATGTGGAAGCTGGACCGGTTTGAGGTGGAGGGCCCACTACGGTTTGTTCGCCTGTCTTACAGATGGCCAATGAAGCCCACTCAGAACTGCTCAGTGACAGCACCCCAGACTCCAGAGAAAATCCCAGCCAAAAGAGAAATGGATTGTGCACAGATAGACATACACTGCTCAGTAAGAGGCTGAAGACATGAGAGATCAGAATTTTAAAGCAAGATAAATGTCCAGTTATAGAGAATTAATTAAAATGTCTTCAGTTAATAGCTGTATTGTACCCTGTAAAGGTAGAATTTGCAGTCCAATTAGAAGTGCAAATAAATAGGTCCCTGGGTGATAAGAATGAGCCAGATGATAATCAAACCATGTCAAGATTATTCACTCAGCCTCTAGCCTGTTAGTGCCTTACGAGATTCCTGAAAGTACTTCATTTAGTCTGCTAATTTAAGCATCAAAACTGAATTTTCAGTTGGCAGTTTTATGCCTCACATTTTAATGTTTGAAATGGGAGAGTAAAAACAGTAGGTTCCTTAACTTTGGACACTTAGTGCCTTATAACAAGAATGAATCATTCTTTAATGACTTAATTTATATCTATTTATGGACTAAAGTAAAATAAAAGATGATGTAAAACAAAATGTTTTTACTAGAAAAGTGTTCACTCTTCTTTTGCAGAGAATATTAGGATTGGGGTGGTAAAATCAAAGCCATTTGGAACAAAAATGATGTATAGCAAATGTTAAGAAGTGCATGAATAATTCAGACTTTTGGCAGGGCAATACATCAATCAAGATTGAGGCTTTGCAGGTGGGGAGGGACAAGGAGCAGACCCAGAAACACTCATAATGATGTCGCTGAGCAGCAGCAGGAGCCAAAGCTCTGTGGCCATAAGTCAGAGACCTCAGCTCTGTCTCTCAGGTGGTGACACCTCGACAAGTCTGGTAAGAAATTAACTTTCAACCAATTACCTTCCCTTCTCATCAAGTTTATTGTCACCTCCACACACTCCCTCACACACAAGAGCAGGAGTGCACACACACACATGCATTTCTAACCAGACATTGACAAAGGGGAATGAGGAAACTTACAACCTCAAAAATCTCTTCCTTACATGCAGGTGCCACTTGGAGGCTAGTATATGAACTGGAAGAAATTTGAATTTCAGTACTGACTTCTGGTTATCTTCATTGCCTTCCCAGCAGCTATTAAACTTTTTGTTTTGGTTTTTGTTCATAAAGAAAAGAAAACAATTTGGCTATGTCTATGTCATGATAATTGAGAGGGATGTTGGGAGGGGAGTTAATTGTAAAAAGCTTCCTTTCTGAGTTGGTCATAAATTAAAATGCTATAAAAAGGCAAGACCTCATTATTAAAATCTTTTTGCTCCTAAAAGTATAACTGACTCTGTGGATCCTGCTTAGATAATGCGGAGGTTGGCTTCCAGGAGGTGACAAAGAAGGGTGACTACAGAAGTCTCTGTGGTTTGCTTCTAGGAAAACACTTAGGAGCTGATCAGCCCCTTGGCAGTGCGGGTGAGCCCTCTTGTGTGCAGCCCACGCTGGCGTACTTGGAAAGTGCTTGTCTCCTTCTCTTATTGGAGCTGGTTTATATGCTGAGAGAGGAAGGAAAAACCCACACCTGGGTTATAAGTTTTCCAAGTATAAAATAATAGAAACCAAAACACTTTATTCTTCAGTATGCTTCACTCTTCTTCATTACCTGTAAGTTGGGTTTTTATAAGGAGAGATATAGAAACAAGTGACTCCTTCCTGAACACAACAGAGACAACCTGTGGGTGAGGTTCCTGGCAGCTGCCTCATTTCTGTGATGCCAAATAGAGGTTGTATCAGTTTGGATCCCCTGGGACTCAAGATAGAGTCTCGAGATAGATTAGAAGCTCAAGAAATCAAATAGGGGTAACGCCTGTGAGGATGAAGGAGCCAGGAAGCAGGAGGAAGCAGGAAAAGTGTTTGGGTCTGACACCTGTGACAGAAGAGCCCCACACTCAGCACAGCACTGAGGAGGTCCCAGCACGTCAGGGAGCTCAGTGCGAAGGCTGCCCCTCCAGGAGGCTGCGCTGGGCAGAAGGGCAGGCCCTGGTATCCTTGCTGACTTTCCTCACTGGCTGGCAGATCCCAGCGACAACACCCTGGGCTTAAATGCTGCCGTGGGCCTTGGAGGCCCTGAAGCTGGAGGCCGCCAGCTGACCGCACTCCTCACCAGGCTCCTCTCAAGTGGAGAGCAGAGCAGAACACCCCCCGGGGGCGGCCGTCGTCACCCCTATCGCCACACAGGTCCATCTCCCCACACACTTGGGGGAGCAGCTCTTCAGTGGTCCCCACGGGTTCTCTCTTCCCGGAGGGGAGAATTGAAAGAACGAAGTTAGTGAAGCAAACAGCTCCTGACACAGCAGACAGTCTCAGGGCCACAGCTGGGATTCATCATCTCCCTGCTCCACGTCTGAAATTATACTCACCCTCAGCAATCATTTATGGATGTCCTAATGATAGTAGACATTATGATTTCTCCCACTACTCATTCCTACTAGGAGTGTGAGCCATTGGAAAGAACGCCTTTCTCAGGCCAGGGCCGAGGTACTTGTCCACTCAGGTCAAGTAGTACCAAGAGACACTGAAGCCTGTCATGTGAGTTCCGCATGTATTCCTGTCTTTCCCACTTTGAAACAGCATCCCTACCTCCTTCTGCCGATCAAGCTCAGTTGCCATTATGGTGACCCCACCTGCTGCTTCCTAGATGCAAGGAGGCCACAGTGCTCAGTTGTCAGTTGTAGCTTATAGTTTAACAGGAACCTTGTTTTGTTACTTGGCAAAAGTCCATCCCTGTGGGGACCAGGGCCTCCAACCCTGCAGATCCCCAAGCTGTAGGGATGGGAAGAACAAAATTCTCCGCCGAGTCGTTGATGGTAAGAGGGGCCATTCCTGCATTCACCTTTTGCATCCAGGACCCTGTTGGGGGCACAGTGCCATCTGGAGGTCCCTGATTGAGTACAGATACTGCATTTTGAAGGACTGCACCCCATCCTTGCAGAGTATTACCTCTGAGCTGATGCTTCAGCTGCATCTTTCGGGAAGGTGTTCCAGTGACAGCTTCTGGATGGTGTGAGTATAATGCAGCCAATCAATCTCATGGTTATGGGCCTACCCTGAACATCTTCACTGTAAGGTGGGTTCCCCCTTCTGAGTTCCCTGGGGGATTCCTTGCCCGTGGATCAGACATAAGCCCTTGGTTTGTGGTTCTGGCTCAGGCCATGCAAGTAGGAAAAGCAAAGACAAACCCATATTCCAAACAGAAGTCTGTTCCTGTGCAAACAGACCATTGGTCCTGCCAAGATGGAAGGGGCCTGACGTAGTAGTCAGCTTGACACCAAGCAGCCAGTTGATCTCAAGGAATAGTGTCATATCGGGCACTCAGTGTCCATCTCGATTGCAGGCAGATTAGGTACTCGAAGGGGCAACAGCTGGATCTGTCCTGGTGAATGGGAATCCACACTGTGGGCCAGTGCATTGCGCCCTTCTCTGCCACTGTGGTGGCTCAGATGGTCCAGATCTCTTCTGACCAGTTACGACAGAGGGCAAGAAGAGTTAACATAGCTCTGGAGCAAAAGTATAAAAATTATTGTTGTCTATTCCAGAGGAATTATTTTCTTTTCTGATTGCTTAAAAATAAGTGTATTCTTCAAATTAGTAACCACATATCCTGTACATGAGGCTTTCCTAATCTGCCCTAGCAACATGCTCCCTCCAGCCCTGCAGCTGCAGTTGGAGCTACTGCTTGGTTGAACTTGCTGTAGTGTACAGTCATTTTCCAACTGTCCCCAGATTACACAGAAGCCAAATCAGCTACTTAGGAGGAGACATGAGAGAAACAACCACTCCTGCATCCTTAGATTTTTAGGAGAGGCACTGTTTTCCACCATTAGTACTCAGAATGTAATATGGTCTTTGATTTACCATTTTGGTTGGAGAGGGTAAGGGCAGGTGGGTGGAAAGGGGTTTCAGAGGCTTCCAGTTCTTCCACCCGGGCTTCTCTGCTATGATGGCTCTTCCTCCAGACCAAGGACCCAGTGGGGGGGGAGGGGGTGTCACTCAACTGCCACATATGTCCATCCTGATCATATATTTTGGGAACTAGGGAAACAAACACAGGTGGCCTTTACCAGTGACGGCTTGAAGAACACTGAATTTTCCTGCCTACATCCATCTAAGAAGGCTTGGCGCTCACCTGATGAAAAGGGAAGGCTTCCTTTGGGGCTGCCTAGGGAGCAGAGCTTATACTGGGCTCTTTATGAATAGGAGATGGAGGGGTATTCCTCAAGGAGAGCAGTTTTTAAAAACTCAATTTCCAAGACTGGACATCTATCTTAGCGTAGAAGTGATGACAATTCAAGATCTCTATACTGTTTAGAGACAAGGAATCTATGCCTTGATGAGCCTATATCTTGTTAGATTTATTCAGAGGTATATGATACATTTTGGTGCCACTATAAATAGCATCTTTTTCAAAGGCTCATTTTCCGGTTGTTCTTAGTGTTCAGAAATTCAGTTCATTTTTGTCTATTGACCTTGATTTCACCAAATTCATTCAACTCACTTGCAAATTCCAAAAATTTGTCAATTCTTTTAGATTTGTGCATCTATATTTATATCATCTGAGAAAAATGACAGCTTTAGTTGTTCCTATATCTTTTATTTTTTTCATTTTGCCAGGACCTCCAGTATGATCATTACCCTTGTTACCAGTTTCAAAGGGAAAGCATTTAACATTTCACCACTAAGCATAATATTTGCTGCAGATTTGTGTGTTGTGAATATCTTAATAACATTGAGGATAATACCTTCAATTCCTGCTTTGCCACAAGTATTGATCATAATGGATGATCAATTTTACCAAAGGATGTTTGTATCTATTTAAATGATTATGATTTTCTCCTTTATTCTGTCAGTGTGTTTATTATAATGATTTTCTCTTATTCTAGCTTATGATCCTTTTCTTAATAACTGCCTATCAATCTTCTAGTTCTCTCTCTGAGGAATTCCTTTCATTATGTATTCCTTAAAGCCACTTTACATTGTCCCTTGGATTTCACTGTTAATTTTCTTCACATCAATAGCTGCTTTGTGTTTTGTTATATAATTTTTACTGTATTTTAAATTTTTTCTACATGTTTCCCCATGTTTTTATTTTGAAAAATTGTAAACCTTTCACATAGTAGTGCAAATTCCATGTATCCTTCACCCAGATTCATCAAGTGTAGTATTTTGGCCCATTTACTTTCTTGTCTATGTTGCTACACACACACTTTCTGGCTTCTGCTAAGGCTTTTGCGCCATTTGAGATTTAGTCACTGGCATGAAGGCTATTTAATCTAAATATTTCACCTTGTCTTTCCCCAAAACAAGAGCATTCTTGTACAAATCAGTTATCTTGTTAGGGACATTTACCATTAATTTATAATATTATCTAATATATAATTCATATTCAAATTTCCTAAATTGTGTCAATAGTGTCCTAACAGCCTTTTTAAAAAATTCTGAACCCTAACAAACCTGCAAAGCATTTAGTTGTCACTTCTGCTCAGTCTCCTTTGATCTAGAGTATTTCCCTGTCTATCTCATCACACTGACACTTTTGAAGAGTCCAAGCCAGTTGGACTTTCACACGTGAAAATAAATCTGAAATTAACCCAACTTGGTCATGATGCATTACATATGTATAATATGTAATATATAATTATATTTTGTATATACACAAAGATTCTAGCAAACCAAACCCATATTCATTAAAATCCAATATTAGAATATTAACTGGGAATTTTATCTTCATCCTGGTCAATGCAAGGACTTTAGAATATTTTTGTTTCATTTATCCCCCTCTGAATGTTACTGTTTTTTATCTTAAGCCTGTAATTTAAGTTCTCTCTCTCTGAATGTATATATATATAAACATATGTATGTATATATGTGTGTGTATATATACATTCTAATATATAATTCATATATATATATAGTTTTATATATATACTTCTTATTGCTCTTCATTATTTCTTTCTATCTGGAATTACTTTCTTTTTTTCTTGAAGAACATCCTTTTAGTATTTGTTTAGAGTGGGCCCTCAGCTTAGCTCCCCTATTTGACTGATAGAAAAACAGGCTGTATTTGAAGATGGATTGGGTGAGGTGCCCCACATCTTTAGAGGCAAAGCTGGTACTGGCACCCAAATAACTGACTCCTAGGCCAGTGCTTTTTCCTATACATCATTTTTAAATGTTTGGGGTCAGAGACATAAAAGAGTAATCAACTGACATGGATGATTGAATCTACTAATGAAATGTTATAAAACCAGTTATTCTGATGAATTGGCTATAAACTATAAG